GTCTCGCACTTAAAGACTTTCAGGAGTTTAAGACGAAGTTATCGGAGGTTCGTGTGGAAGGAGAATGGAATATCCCCAAGGATTCGCTGGCGAAGGCCGTCCACCCTTGCGCGCTTGTCAGCTGCATGGGCGAGAACTACAGCGAAGACGCCGCGATGGACATCGCGATTGGGTTGTTCGAAGAGATGAACCAGAGAGACCTCGCTGAGAAACTCCTGGATGAGAAAGTGAAAGGTAGGAAGCCGGAGTAAATTTTGCTTTTCTTCACCTCTTTTTCCCTTGGGTGATCCTGGAGACAGGTAGAAGTTGGTAAGAGCAGGTTTTGGTTTCCCAGGGAGCCTGGAAACAAGAAGATGTCCCGCTGTGATTCTGTTAGTGTGATGAGGGCTGCAGTGACCTCTCCGCTTGCTGCCGGGCTCCCTCCACTCCCGGAGAAGAGCCCTCAGCTCTCAGCACCGCCGGGCAGGCAGCTGGGCAGATCCTTTCCTCCTGGGATGGGGATTAAGGACATCTCTGCAGAGCTCCTGTTTGGTAGCACTTTGCAGCCGGAGGCAGCCCCGGGAGCCCAAGTTCGGTGCCTTTGGCCCCAGGGGCACGAGCAGAGGGGGACGGAGGCTGCGGGTGGCCCCAGGCGATTGCATCTGCTCCCAGGGTGGGTGAGGACTGCAGGGTGGTTAAAACAAGGGTTGATGGATCAGGATGATGGGGGGACCCGGGAGAGGAGAAGGACCCCCCCAACTGACCAGAGGCCCAAAATTCTCACAGCTGATGTCCTTATTGCTTCTGCCAGACTTAGGAAAGCCCTGAGCATTGAAACAAGTGTCCCGTTGGTGTGTTGGGAGCGTGGTCGGGCTGGTTAGGAGCTCCTTGGGAATCTGGCTGTGCTTGGGACTGACTCTGCTTCTCGCCGGCACAGAGTACAAGCGGAAATACAGAGAACACGTGGCCCGGGAGTTCCTCCGGTACAAAGAAGTGAACTCCTGTCTCGGGGAGAACCTGTCCGTCAGCAGCCGCTACACCGACCTGACCATTGCCAGGAAGCCTCGGAGCAAGCGCGGAGGTGAGCACGAAGCTGTGGACGCCAGCCGTGGATGTGCCGACGCCGCCAACGGACCAGCCACCATCACTGTCACCGCGCAGACGCTGTTTAAACCCAACGAAGACGGGCAAACGCCGCAGGTCGTGGTGCTGGTGGGGGCCCCGGGGATGGGGAAGACGATGACGGTCAGGAAGGTGATGGTGGAGTGGGTGGAAGGGACCCTCTACGCGCAGTTTGACTACGTCTTCTGCATAGACTGTGAAGACATTGCCTCTACCAAGGAAGCGAGCGTGGCAGACCTGGTTTCAAAGTGCTGCCCTCACAGGAGAATGCCGGGTGGGAAGATCCTGCATGACCAGAAGAAGATCCTGTTCATTTTTGATGGCTTCGAGGCCCTGGGGTTTTCCTTGGTTCAGCCTGAAGATGAGCTGAGCTCTGACCCCAGGGAAGTGAAGCCGCTGGAAACCACCCTGATGAGCTTGTTGAAGAAGACTGTTCTCCCCGAGTCCTCCTTGCTCATCACCACGAGGCCAACAGCTCTTCAAAGCCTGGGGCGGTGCCTGGAGGGTGAGTATTATGCGGAAATACTGGGATTTTCGGCAGCCATGAGGGACGAGTATTTCCACAGATATTTTGAGAACGACAATAAAGCTGACGTGGCCTTTAGGTTTGCCAGAGGCAACAAGGTCCTCTACAACTTGTGCGTCATCCCCGTCATGAGCTGGACCGTCTGCACCATCCTTGAACAAGAGCTTTACAAGAAGAAAAACCTCATCGAGTGCTCTAAAGCCACCACGCGGATGAGCGTGTTTTACCTCTCCCGGTTGATGAAGTGCAGAGGCAGGGACGACCCGCGGGACCTTCAGCGGTTCCTGTGCAAGCTCTGCTCCTTGGCTGCTGATGGCGTCTGGAAGCACAAGGTCCTCTTTGAGGAGAAAGAAATCAAGGACTGTGGCTTGGACCAGCCAGACCTTTTCCCCCTCTTCCTCAACGAGAAGATCTCAAAGAAAGGCGTAGACCATGGGAACGTCTACAGCTTCACCCACCTGCACCTCCAGGAGTTTTTTGCGGCGATGTTTTACGTTCTGGAGGACGATGAAGAAATGGTCGGCAACTCAGGGGCTCTCGCGAAGGATGTAAATGCGTTATTAGAAAGCTATAACGAGTCCAGGAAGGATTTGAACTTAACGGTGCGGTTCCTGTTCGGTCTGGTAAGCCAAAAATCGATAGAGTACATGGACAAAATCATCGGGTGCAGAATTTCACCGCGAGCCAGGGAAGATATGCTGAAGTGGCTTCAGGGGAGGCACAGTGGCATCTCCCATCCCGGCCAAGTGCAGAAGGTTTCGGAGTTGGACACTTTCCACTTTTTGTTTGAGATGAACGAGAAAAGCTTCGCGCAAAGTGCGTTAAGTCGTTTCACTGACATAGACTTGCAGGACATCAAGTTGACCCTGTACGACCAAATGGCTCTTTCCTTCTGCATCAGGCAGTGGGCTGGGCTGGGCTGCGTCTCCCTCCGGGGATGCTCCTTCGACCGGCAGGATCCCGGGGAGGAGCTGGCCGCCTCGGTGCCTCGGTAAGCAGCCCCTCTCTGCTCTAGCCACCCAAAATCGCAAAGGATTCTCCTTCGCCACCCTAAAGGATGGTTTTAAAGGCACTTTGGCTCCTGCCACCCAAACACCAGCTTGTCCGCTCACTGGGGTTTAGTTCCTCAGCAGAGGATTTTACTTATTCTTGGGGAGAA